GAAGATTTAATTAATGTGCACCGTTTCCATACAAACAAACAAATTTCAAGCTTTACTCAGCAACTAGCAAAATCATGGACACATGTCTTGGACTCCATCCCCTTTATCTATGAGTAACCGTCTACAATTTAATTATATAAACATGTCTAGCTAGCTAGTCCTTTCAACAATTAATTAATGTCTTCAAGAAATAATTAATTCCCAAAAGAATATAATGTCCACTACTCTCACCACCTTTCTTCTTCTTCTTTTAGCCATTGTTGTTATTTCTAATAATGTTAACAATGTCACTAGCAACCAAGATCTTATAATTAATAATAAGGTGGTGAGGGTGTTAAGTGCCATGAAATGGGCTAAGGGTACTCTAAAAGGACAATTACTTAATAAAGAGGCAGAGGACCAAAGCTATAATGAATGTGTGAAGCTTTATGAAGAGACTGAGCCAAGACTAGCAAGGATAGTTGTGTTTGGTGGTGATCATCACAAGTATAATTACAGCCACGATGATGCTCTTACGTGGTTAAGTGCAGCATTAGCAAGTCATAGGAGTTGTTTAGATGGCTTAAAAGAGAAAGGCTTAGCTACTTTTATAAGTAGAAATGAAGAAGCTCAAAACTTGACTTTGTTGCTTAAGGATGCATTGTTTCATTATCGACAACTAACGACTCTCTCAAGAACGGGTGAGTCATACCATTTTACTGCAACTCTTATCGGTGACAAAATTAGCTCGAAACAATGGATGATAGAATTTTAACCTATATACATTAATTAATAGTATGACGTAATGTTTATTGTGGTCGTACTCCCTTCATTCTAAAATATTTGTCATGTTTTGCCTTTCGAGAGACTATTTAATTAATTTTTAAAGTAAACTTAATATTTTAAAATTAAAATTTTAAATATTCGAAAACTATAAGTTGCAATTTTTCTCATATTCTATTGGTAGAAAATTATATCTTAAAATATTGATCAAACTTTATATAGTTTGATTCTTGATAGGTGAAAACGTGACAATTTTTTTGGGACTAATAAAGTATGATTTAAGCTGATGTGAAAAGATATTTACCTTATTTTATAAGTTACTATTGATTTTATTTGCAATTTTCGTTTTGAATAATTTAAGTGTATATGTATGGAAAATTAAAAATTGCACTAGTGGTTTTTCTTTTCCCTTTTAATGGTCCTTTTGGGTGGGTCTACATTTGCTTTATATTATTATAACTTTTATAAATCGATACAGTAAATTTTCATACTATTTGGTTGTCTAAATCATAATTACATACATATAATTGTTCGAAAACGTAAGAGTAGTAATTAAATTGGAAAATAAGGAAAGTTACATACGACTTTGAGAAATGAAATACAACCAGGAATCGTTTCGGGACTAGCTATCTCGAGATTTTACGGAATTATAATATGAGAATTAATAGTGACAAGTTTATTTTATTTATATATTTTTGGGATGATGTTTGGTTCATTGGGAAAAAAATAATAATGAAATCTATGGATATAATATAAAACATGTGTTTTGTTTATAAATTGGGACAAAAAATTTATTTCAATTTTAGCCTAATCATGATGGAGTTGCCTTAGGCAAAGGGGTGGTCCGGTATACATGCTTCATTGGAAAATGATGTGGTTTACAAAAGTTAAATAGTAGTACTAGCTATTATGAATGTATATTTGGTGACAGGGGCACAATTAATACCAATGAGCTCCAATGAAGAAGGCAAGGGGCTTTTGGCATCATGGAATGCAGCAACATCCAAACCTGATATAGTAGTTGCACTTGATGGTTCTGGCAATTACAAGACCATCAACGACGCTGTGGCTGCGCTCTCTAGTATGACACGACCAGAAAGAACAGTTGTGTATGTCAAATCTGGTACATACCGCGAAAATGTTGAAATTGGAAGGAGACTTAATAACTTGATGTTTGTTGGTGATGGCATTGACAAAACTATCGTTACTGGTTATAAAAATGTCCCAGATGGAGCTACCACCTTGGGCTCAGCTACATTTGGTAAGTCCCACATATACTAGAATTTAATTTATTCTGTTTATATAACAATGATGTTCGAGCCAGTTTGTATTTGTTGTTTCTCACTAGCACAACGAGTAACTTTCTCATGAACCACAACTTTAGTCATACATAATGTCATTTTTATTATAGGCGTATCTGCTGATGGATTTTGGGCCAGAGACATGACATTTGAGAACACAGCAGGACCAAACAAGCATCAAGCAGTGGCACTAAGAGTAGGCTCAGATCTCTCGATTTTCTATCGTTGCAGCTTTAAAGGTTACCAAGACACGCTCTTAGTACACTCTCTAAGACAATTTTATCGCGATTGTCACGTATATGGTACCATCGACTTCATATTTGGTGATGCATCTGCCGTTTTTCAAAATTGTGACATTTTTGTTAAGAAACCAATGGATTACCAATCCAACATGATAACAGCACAAGGGAGGGATGACTCAAATGAGAATACAGGGATTGTTATACTAAATTCGCGAGTTTCTTCATCTTCGGAGTTCACTGCTGTTAAAGATAGTTTCAAGAATTACCTAGGCAGACCGTGGAAAAAGTATTCAAGGACAGTGTTTATTAAGACGGATTTGGATGGATTGATAGATCCAAAAGGGTGGAAAGAATGGAGTGGTGATTTTGCACTTTCGACATTATATTATGCAGAGTATATGAATACAGGGAGTGGAGCTAATACTGGAAACAGAGTAAATTGGCCTGGTTTTCATGTGTTACGTGATGCCAATGAAGCAAGCCAATTTGCAGTAACAAATTTCATACAAGGTGAATCTTGGATCCCAGCAAGTGGAGTACCATATTGGGCTGGCATATGATATGTTATTTGTCAAGACACTCAACAATGTGGAGGGTATTAAATTGGGAAATGTGCATGTTACTACTGAAGTTGTATTTGTAGAAATTATGGTGGTCTGGTAGGGTGTATAAAAATAGTAGAGTAGGTACGAATAGGTGTACTAATAAAAATAAGAAGTATGGCATAATTTCTTGAAATAATGTTTGGTTTTAAAATATCCTCCACAAATATGGATAAAAGGACGTGAAAAAGATTTTGATGGACAATTATGTTTTTGACCATGCTAATGCATGCACATTAAAATTCTATGCATTACTAATACTGTGAGTTTCCATGTATTAGTTATATACATACCTTAATACCAAATAGAGTATATAACTAATGTATACCTAAATTGAAAAAGTGTACTAAACTGTACTAGTAATACACCAACTAATAGCCAAGTATATACAACTTTTTTGTTCTTTATGTGGAAATAGTTTTCTTTGAACATTTTGAATAATACACAAAGCCAAGCCATTCAATATTTTGAATGAGTCATCATCCCTATAACTTGAGCCATTCAACATTTTGAATAATACACAAAGTATATATATATGTTTGAAATTATGTACTATTTTTTAATTCAACAACTTAAATATTGCATAACAAATAATATCAGCATAACTAATGTAAACATTACTAATATAAATATTAGTACACCTTATTCAATGTTATTCTAATACACCTTATCAAATGATAAGTAATCTACATACTCTCAAAATTAGGCAAAAGAAGATTGTATCCTCTGAGTGGTACAACTACAAGTATCATATCCTATATATTTCCAAACCGTTTCGTATAATATTTTTAGTTGTTCTACGTGATTTGTATATTTTTACAAGTTAAAAAATTATTTAATTTTAACAAATTTATATATTTTACGATTATTGCATTTTTAAAAAGCAAATAGAATGACTTGTAGCCCCTCTAAATCAAGTACTACTACATTTAAGATAAATTTAACTTGATATCTGATTAGGTTGGTAAATACTCATTCTGTCTAATAATAGTTGTCCATTATTTACTTTACACACTTTTTAAGAAACTATAAATAGAAGGGTAATTTACTATATCACCCTTTGAATATAATAAATACAATGTCTTGAAAAATGTTACTATAGGAAAATAACTATAATTAATGATAAGGGTAAATTATGAACTAAGTGTAAAATTATCAATTGATTTCATAAAGTAGACGAGTATAGTTGGATATCCCAAAATAATATAGTGGACAACTATTATTGGACATATGGAGTATCATGTGTTGAGAAATCTTTTTTTTTTACATTCATCAAATAAATTGAAATGGATGGGGTAATAACTTACTTAACTCTATTTTTTTAAGAGAAGAAATGAAGTGACGTGATTCTTAAAAGTTAACTCTCTAATTATATTGCACAATTTGTTTTCAGAAAAGTGATAATATAAAAGAGTTTTGGTATATTATTAAATAGTAGTAATATCGAACATTAATACTTAAATGTTTTATGGGAAAATTACGCGGTTAAATAAATTTATACTACTTAATTATTCATCATAGCTATAGTTTGCTATAATTACCACTCACGACTAACATTATACATTAATTACGTGGGCTGACTTCGAGTTTATATAATTAGCCACGTTTGTATATGTATAATTCGCCAGAATATACAAATACATATGTATAATATACAATTATCTAACATATATACATATACTATTCACCTTTCTCCCACTCTTTGCCCCCTCTCTCTGGCCTCTCTCCTCTCTCTCCCAGTCTCGCTCGCCTCTCTCCTCCATATAACATGTAGCTACGAATTGTAATTATCAAATTATAGCTATGAAGAATAATTAGACTATTTTTGAATGGCTATATGTGAAAGTTCCCATGTTTTAATTACCTTTATAAGGAAAATTAATACAATTTGTTAGAAAATCATTATTGCACGTAGGAGGATATAAATTTTTTTTAGTATGTAATATATATTTGTTTTTAGCGGTCCATAATGTAGCATTTTTCTTCTTTTTTTTTTTTTTTTTTTAGAGTTTATTTATTAGTCCTTTTTTCCGCTGGAAAACCCTAAACTGAAAAACCTCTCTTGCTATTTTCCTCTCCCTTGCAAGAAAACACCCATAACCATTTTCAAAGGTCAGCTTTATCCAGCTTCAAAGATTCAACCATTTTAATCCATGGTTTTTATTAAATTTTATTTCATTTTTTTATATGTATATTGGGATGATTAATAATGATTTTGTACTTTGTAGAGTTATTGAAAGAATCCATGGCAGGAGGATCAGAAGTGGTTGAAGCTGCTTTATCTTGTGCTAAGTGTAGCAAGCCTGCTCATCTTCAGTATGTGTCCACTCTTTGTAATTTTTGTATGAGTTTTAAGTGTTTCTGCAAAGTGATAGTTTGTAATTTCCTTTGTTGAATTTGAATATTTGGAGACAAATAAATGTTTTCAAATATTCAACTGTGTTTGAGCTTATGCGAATTGCATATTTGTGTGTAGGATTTAAGACTTAAAGAGATAATTTTTTGAGGGTTAGGTGGATTTTTCAAGGGGTTAAGATGAAAGAGGTGTTCTAATTCTAGTAGGTAGAAAATAGTAGTAGTATTTTTAGTTTTATGAATTGAAGATGGAATGGAGGGATTGTCATTAGCTAATACATCCGAATACAAATGATCTTTCTCGTAACCTGGGGATTTCTGTGTCCTTTATGTAGCGGTGATAGGCTAAATTCATTCCTTTCAGTTTGGAGTGTAGGTCTATTATTGGCAAAGGTAGTACGATGCAATATCAAGTCCCGAGTTTGAAGGTGAAGCAAGTTTAGTATCTAGTGGTGCTGATAAAAGAAAGTCTAGTATCTAAGTGGTAAAGATGAGGGCAGGCCCATTATCCTTTGGGTTTCTGAAGCTGGAACCAAGGGATTTCTCGATTATAAAAAAAATAGTATAGGTTCTATTGTGGTTTAAAGCTGTATGGTTGACGATGCTGATGATGTCTGGATGTAATAGAGTATTTTCTTTAAGGATATCATCAGCTTGCTTTTCGGGACCTTCATTAATTATCCTTGAACTTTGAAGTTCAATGCATCCAACAACTGTTTGCAATTGCGATGTGTGATCTTTTAGCTATTGTAGTTTGCAATTGCGGTGTGTGATCTTTGGACTGCCTATAATTGTTTTTTTAGTGCTGTTACTTTCAGGGAAGAGTTTCTGCCTGTGATATCTCTGTTAAATTATTTTATCTTTTATTTGAAGGTGTCCTAAGTGCGTGGAGTTAAAGCTTCCTCGTGAAGGTGCTGCTTTCTGGTTTGTAGCTTTGACCATTCTTTTTCTGAGCTATCTTCTCCATTTTTCATCATCTAGCTGAAGCTTAAATTTGGGATTACTGATGTGTATCGTTTATAACTTTATATCATAACTGAAACCGTCCATCTGTGGGAAATAAGCTATTCTTTTTTTTAGCAGTTTGTACATGGTATTTATTAGTTTGGTATAACTGTTGTGATGTAAGAGAGGGATAAGGGTGTACTCACTGCTTGTTAAAGATTTGTATGTGAATAACCCGTGCTCCTCCATGCTATGTTTGCAGAACCTTTTGTAATAGGTCTATTGTCTATTATCATATTAGAAAGCTGGACTCCCTATCTGCATTAGTTGTTCAATGTCAAAAACTCAGATTTCAATAGTGGAACTGAAACAACGAGAAGACATTAGAAGAATATTACATTCTAGCTACTAAACAAAATGTTTGGAGAACTGCAACCTCCTGTCTGATAGATCAAATCTAAGTGAATTTGGAAAGTTATAACTGCTGTAAATGTGAACTGAATAAAAAAATGAATGGCTAATGGGATGAGAATCTCTTCCTATGACAATAGTTAGATCTTTATTTTCTCTGGCCATTAGTCTAATACCTAGATTTTGATGCAAGTTGCTTCTTGTCAGCACGCAGGATTGTTTCAAGGCATCTTGGAGTTCTCACAAGTCTGTCCACTTGAAGGCAAAATTATCGTCTCTGGCAACTGAAACTCCAGGTGAACAAAATGCAGCCTCACCTAGTGATGGTTGGCTATATTGCTTGAGGAAAGGACAGGCTCGAACACCAAAAATTCCGCATTTTGACTGGACTGGGTATGTTGGATATGGTTCTTTATCTTCGACCTTTGCTGATGTAATATGTACATACATACCTTGTTTTGGATTTCCATGGTTCCTCTCCAATTAGAAAAGTTAGAACTATGCATTTATTCGGTAATGGACTACTTTCTAATTTGATCCTATCATGTCTTGCATAAAACTTGGAACTCTCCCGGTCAGATTTTAGTTGGTCCCAAAATATCTAACTCTGTGAATGATAGTAAGACACTGTTTTGGCATCGGTGAATGGTCCTTAGAATGCATTTCTCACTGACATTTATTTCCAGCTACAGTTTCTTTGAACTGTCCTGCTCTCAATGTAGAATTAGTAAAGGTCCTGACAAGTTCTTGGTGAAAATAAAACTGGCTAGCAGAGTCTATTTTGGAGTCGTGTGTTCCTTCTTCTCCTTTACTTGTTTGGATCCTTGTTCTTTGCTGTCCTTAACCTCGCCGGATTATGGAATGCATTTCTCATCGATATTTATGTCCAGCTACAGTTTGTTAGAATTGTCGTACTATGGGATGGAGAATTACTAAAGGGGCTTTGCAAGTTTGTGATGTTACTAACGGTGGCAAAATTAGGCCATCCCAACATTTGGCGGGTTGGGCTTATGTTCATGAAGGGCCAATCTTGGCACAGCCCATGTCTCCATCTAAAAGTTGGGATGATTTGGACTAACAGCCTGTTTGGATTGGCTTATTTTAAGTGCTTTTAAGCAGAAATAGCTTTTAAGCACTTTTGGAGTGTTTGGGTAAATTAAAAGTGCTATAAGCACATGATTTTAAGCTAAAATGATAAAAATACTAAAGCCAATCCAAACAGGCTCTAAATATGTAGCCCAAATTGACCCATAAGAAAATTTGTCAAAATATTTTAATTTTTTCGAAACTTAATATATATATATATATTTTTTTATATTTTTTTGATATGTTAAAATATAGCCATAATAAAGAGAGAAAAGTTTTAGTAGTTTTGTTGGTGGTTAAACAAATAACTTAAAGCTTGTTTAGAGTTGGGCCGGTTGGGCTATGAACCATTATTTAGCCCATCTCGGCGAAAAAACCTTTGGGTGGGTTAATGACCTGCCCCCCATTTCGATTGCAAATTCAACTCAACTTTCCATTTGACACCCTTAGATGAAACTAAAACAGGCTAGCAAAGTCTATTTTGAGTTTGTGTGTTCCTCTTCCTCCTTTACTTGTTTGGATGCTTGTTTTGATTCCCATATTTCTCTATATTAGTGGAGTATTTTTTAATTATCTCATGCTCAACTTATGCGAACTGTATTTTTGTTACCAAAACATGCTGTTATGAACCTGAAGTGGTTGTCCAAACAGCTATATGCATTAGTTGTGAAGAGTAAATAAACTTATGAGTTGTCTGTATTTTCTGAATGATTCCCTTCAGAATTAAAAAAAAACCAGAACTAATTATTTTCAGTGATGTTGGAGTGAATGTGAAGATTGTTTAATTCTCAGCTGTCTGTTTATGCCGAAGTATTCACCACCTTGTGTCATCTAAAGGAATTTCTTTTCAAGTACAGCACAATTATCCATCTTCATCTTCTAAGAGTTTGATATCAAAGATGAGAAGTTTTCTTCTTCCCATCTGTCCCAGCCTTGGTGGACAAAGTTACTTGGTACTGTTGTTGGTGGGAGGGGACAGGTATCCTGTGGAGTCGAGGTGCATGCAAGCTGACCCCGACACCAAGGTTATAAAAAAAGAGAGAAGTTTCTAGGTTTTTGTTTTTGTTTTGTTTTAAGGTTGAAGGCTCTGATAGCTGAAGTAAGATAAGTCACCGGGCGCTTTAGTTTCTTAGTTCAGTCCAAAAATTATTAAGCTTTACCTAGCTTACTAGACTACACTCTTCTGTTATAGAACACTAAGAAGTTTGTTTCCTTCTCGTCTTTTGCTCCTTTTGAACATAGTTTTTTGCTAGGCGCTTGCTTCAAGGATGACAGAATCACTCTCCCTATTTTTTTTTCTTTATCTTTCCTCTCTTATTTTATGGAAGTTGCTGTTTGCATTTGTTTGTTGTCCAAAACCTAAGGTGCTTACGTTTTTCAGGACGCTGAGGCCCTATCCAATATCAGAAAAGCGTGTTGTACCTGCTCACATTGATCTACCTGATTGGGCAAATGATGTAAGTCATGTTAGCTGATTTCTGCATATTTCAAGTGTTAGTCCCCGTTTAATATACACACACTCAAACTTTATACATACACATGCACACACATGTTGTGTTTTGCCCCGTCTCTTATGGAGCTGGATACCAAGAATGTTGACAGTTGCTTCAATTAATTTGCTTATCATTAGGAGCTTAGGTGCCTAATATTGAACATTTTTCTCATTCTGATTATCAATGATATATGTTCTTTATTTTTGTTTGTTTCTGTTATTTTTGTAGGGTATCCCAAAAATTGAACCCAGTAGTGATTTGCAGCATGTTGTTGAGGTACTAATTATGTCGAGTTAGTAATGATTTGCAGTTACATTAGATCTCTTTGTAGTAACAAACAAGGTTTTTGCTCACCGCCTGCTTCTTTTCTCTTTAAATGTTCTGAAGATCAAAACTCCAGAGCTGATTGAGAGAATGAGAGAAACTTGCCGAGTAAGTATTGTCACTTTATGTCTCTTGATTATGTTCTACCAACAAATTATCTTATATTAGTCTTCCAAAAGAATCATTGTTGTCAGTTAATGAAGCATAGACATTTACATTTGATCCACCCTTTATTAGATACCATGTACTTCGACAACACCAATATTGCAGGACAGTTAACAGGGTGTGGAGTTGATATGAACCAATTCTTGGTGAGTTCATTCCACTCTTTAGAGTATTGATGTGGCCTAGGAAACTTAAGGGACTTTTGGAAGATGTGTTGACATTTATGACTCCACCAACCAAAAGGGGATGAAAATGACGAAGAAAGGAATTATGCAAATGGAGAATGGAGTGGAAGCAGATTGTCAAGAATATACTCCTATATTATGCTCTGTAATATTTGGTAATATATGCAATTGCTTCCTGGCCGGACTTTTGTGGGAGATCCGAGTGAGATTGAAAGCCTAGAAACGTATGAGTTCACATTTTATTTTTAGAGTTCAGACAGAAACCAAGTTAGGAGGACTTGTGTACGATGTTACAACTTACAACTAGGGGTTAGTTTCAATCTGATGTGTGAATTTTGAAAGATCAATCAATAACTAGAATCAAGATCTTGAATGTATCTCTGGGACTACTGCCAGGTGTCGTTTCCTTCCTGTAATGCTTTTTAGATAGTACATTTTTCTTGGTTTTATTAGCACCTAAGTTTCTGGAAAAGACATTTTTTCCATCATCTATTGTCAAGTCAACAACACTGAATCACCCATAACTTATTGTCTAATCAACAGCACTCAATTCAATGACATCCCAAGCGAAAAAGGAGTTGTTACCTTCTCTGCATTAGTGTGCAATGACCTTTATGCTACCTAAGCACAGCTGTAGACTTGAACTGATAGTCGTCCAACCTAAGGGGACACCACATACACCAGCCTCATTTGCCAAGTTCTCGGGTCTCATTGAATGTACTTGTCCTATTATCCTCAACTGGGCTGGGGACTTGGTCAATTAATCAAAAGAGATGAAGGGTGGTTAGTGTTCCTAGGTTATAAAGTTTTCATGCCCTGCTGCTTTGGCGAAGAACCGTGGTATAAGCATGTTCACTTGGTTCTTCATCAGTATTTTAGATTCTGTGAGATTTCTTCTAATGCATTATCTTTAAGAATCCAATTCGATATCAGAAATAGGGATTTCTACAATATTTGTGTACTATACAGTCAGTTTAATGATTCTAAAGTACCTGGTTGAGAGATGGTAAGGGGATAAATATCGGGCAGTCTTTGCTTCTTCAGCTTCATTGTTTTTTGTTTGTTTGAAGTTATTGTTTACTCACATTCATATACCTTCAGATAGGAAGGGAAGTTTTGGATGCAGCTGCTCGTATTATTAGACCTGGCGTGACTACTGATGAAATTGATGCAGTGGTCCATGAGGTTACTGTTGCTGCTGGTATGTTGATAAAACTATTATTATTAATCGATTCTCATGCTTGCATATTTTAGTTGGGTTCATTTCCACTTACCAACATGTTACATTTAATGTTTTTAGTTTATGTTGATATGTTCAAAACGTTTGAAGCACTTTAATCAAGTTATGTTAAAGCAAAATCCCTTAGTTCTTTTCAACTAGTGTTATCAAAAGCAAAAAGCTCAAAGGTTCGTTGGGGCTTTAGGCGCAAATAAAGCGCAGGTCTTAATGCTAAAAGGCACAAAGGAAGAAAAAACAAATATATATATATATATATATATATATATATATATATATATATATTTATATGTACAATCTAAGACTAATAATTATAATCAGGATTGACAAAATATATGAACAAAGAAATTGGAAAAAGAATTTGATAAAGTGAAATATCAATTATGTCGTGTCGCCTCTTCAGAAGAGGCTCATCGGCAAGGAAAAGTATGCCTTAGAACCTTGATGACAAGACTGAAGCGTACATTAAGCGAGGTGAAGCTCTCAATACATTTTGAGCCTCACTTCGGGGCTTAAGTGCGCCTTTGACAAAACTGCTTTCAACTTGCGCATATTCACTTTAATCACATACATTATGTATGATACACTGATGATACTGGTCTTTATACTTTGTACAAGATGTTCTCTTTGTTCCCCAGTTGAGAACCTATGTGATCTAAGTTATTGGTTCCATAAAACTTATTACTTTCCCTTTTCTTTCAGTATGATGCTCTGCTAAGATAGGTTGGTATATCATCCTAGCCGAAGTTTGTTGGCTTCATATTATATCGATGAAAGTTCACAGGAAGTCCTGTTCTTAGGGATGCTGCTATATATGGGATCACTTAGTCTTCTAATATGCGGATCTGGTGCTTTAACTCCTTTTTTGGTTGCATGTGTAGGTGGATATCCGTCTCCCCTAAATTATCATTTTTTCCCCAAGTCATGCTGCACGTAGGTACTTTACCTTGCAAATGTTCTTTATGCACTGTGTAGGCAGGTCCTAGAAATTACTAAAAGATGGAAATCTGTCTGCCTATTGCCAGGTCGGTCAATGAAGTGATCTGCCATGGGATTCCAGATGCAAGGTAAGTCTTTACATTCAGCTATGAGACTAGTCTTATTTGTTCATTCAGATTAGGTCTAGTAGCCCCTTTGTTTTTTAGTGAGGGGGAAGGAAGTTACTGCTCTTACCAAGTTTACACTTTTTGAGAGCTTAATAATATGCTCAATTACCGATGAATCTAGACAGTCTTTTGTCAATTTTCACTTGTGTTTGCTCTTTCCTTGGCGCATTTTACTGTGTTATATGTGCTTACTGTATGTATTGTTCTGATAAGAATTTGTTTTGTGCTGTATGTCATTTGGTTGCTCTTTATTTCAGGAAATTGGAGGATGGTGATATTGTGAATGTTGATGTTACTGTATATTACAAAGGGGTTCATGGTAAGAACCAATTTTCATGTTGATCTATAGGTAATGTTACTTTTTGCAGAATTGATGTTTAACTAGTGCACTGCTGATTATGCAGGCGATCTGAATGAAACCTTCTTTGTGGGTAATGTTGATGAAGCATCTCAACGGTTAGTCCAGTGCACATATGAGTGTTTGGAGAAAGCAATAGCAATTGGTAGGTTGTGTTTTACTGTATGTTAGCCTTGGATACTTTATGTACATAGATTTCACTGTTCTAAGAACCTCATACTTTATGGGTTTATGACTAGCTAATGATTAATTGATAATAGTAAAACAACATACACATGAGACAACTATTTCAAGTTAGGTTTAGGAATAACAAATTTCTCTTTACTATCACAAGATGAATATGTCTAAATCTTCTATTATCTTTCAACACTATTCCGAAGCTTTTGCATGTTTAGGTTGCATAACTATAGAGGTTCCTCCGCTAAATCAATATACAACTCTAAATAGAATGATCAAACCCTTCAAAAATCAAATGGGCAAATCATTGAAGAGTAGACGGATGACTTAAAAATTGGCAATACAATACACCACACCGCATATTCACAATTAGATAATTGGACGTATAGACTACAGTGTTAAGCAATTAAACTTTTAGAGGGTTGGGTTTGGATGTTTTTCTAAGAAATGGGCTTTAAAAGTGCTACAATACATGTGAAATAAGTAGAGACTAAAATCAAATTAATAATTTAAAGGTACAAATATTTATAACTATTTATGAATAACTAATATCATATATATATAAAAATCATTACAAAATTAGTTTATATAATTTATTGGTTGGTTTGGTTATTTTTTAGTAGAACCAAAGCCAAACCAAATATTGTCAGCTTTTAAAATTCTAAACGAAACCAAATATCAGTTTGGTTTGTTTTTTCACCAAACTGTGAACACCCCCCTACTTCTTAGAAGGCATGTCCAGTTGCTTGTATAAACAAATACAGTATGACTCGTCAATTTGACTCGTTAAATATGTTTTCTTTGCTATTTGGCCTGTGGTTCTCTTTGCGCCTGTCTATGCCAGCTTTTACCTTTTTACTTGCATTTTTCTGTATATATTTACTTGGTAGTGACAAATGGTCTTGCTGAGAAGTGTCTTTTCAATATGTTATTGAAGAGTTAAGGAAGTGAAGTTCAGTAAATATGTAAAGCTAGCAATTTTGATCTAAACTTTAGGTGTCGTTTTTTAATTGTGCCATTTCATTGCAGTTAAGCCTGGGGTACGGTTTCGGGAAATTGGAGAGGTCATCAACCGACACGCTTCTATGTCTGGATTATCGGTGGTAAGATAAAACAAAAAATAGATTGCCTAACTACCCCATCAAGTGGACCAGTGATGCTCAGTTTTTGTTGGAAGTTGACATGTTTTGCATGTTCTCGTTTTCTTGCAAACTTGGGTGACAGGTGAAGTCATATTGTGGTCATGGCATTGGAGAGCTTTTCCACTGTGCACCAAATATTCCGCATTATTCAAGTATCCTCAACAATGTCTTTAAGATTTTATGGTTTATCAAAAAAAATCTTTTTAACATTTAAATCTACGTGTTAGGTCGAGCAGTGAAATGTGAATGCATCACATATTTCCAGCAATATCTAGCACTATAGAAACAGCAGTATTGATTTAACATAATATTTTCAGTTATGGTACAGTTTAGTACCTCTAGGATTGTGGCAATCTCTGTGTAAATGTGGCTTTACTTCTGTCAATCATCCTTTGGTTACCTTAGCCTGATCAGGAAATAAAGCAGTTGGTGTGATGAAAGCCGGCCAAACTTTTACAATTGAACCAATGATTAATGCTGGTAAGTTCTTCAGTTCTGAATTCATTATGTACTATTCAATATAAAATCTCTTTCCCCTGTGTTGATTAATTCTATTTCAGGAGTTTGGCGTGATCGGATGTGGCCTGATGGATGGACTGCTGTGACAGCAGATGGAAAACGAAGTGCTCAGTTTGAACACACTCTCCTGGTATTATTTTATTATACATCCTTTTTGGCATCTGAATGATTAATGGAAGCTCTTTGTTGCATGCTGTCTCGGATTGAATTGAGATACTTGTCTTGATGAATTGATCTTGTTGCAACTGAACACAATATTTAACTAGAGAAAACTGTCTCATCTATTTTCCCGTTGCAAAGAAAATTTTGCTCGTTGATTGATGTGTTTCTGGTGATGGATAATTTGTAGGTCACAGAGACTGGAGTTGAAGTACTGACAGGACGCCTCCCGACATCTCCCAAGGTGTTCCCTTGGTTGAGTTCTTGATTTGTCTTTTGCATTCTTTTGCCAGTCATAAAAAAAAGTTTCAAGTTGGTCTGTTTGTGTAACACATGTATTTTTTTAATTGATGAATTTCTGAAATTTTGGTCTCAAACTATATGAACAAATGAGGTTTTACCGACTCAGGTGCTATATTTAAAGCTGATGCCTTTTGGTTATCTGATTTCTATTATAAATTTAGCTCTACCTAAGGGCTTGTTTGGTTTGCCATTAAGAAAAATAATTTTGTATAATTAATCTAATATTTTATATTTTGGTATAAAAGTAAGTTTACTGAGAAGATTCTGTGTAATGAATATTGCGCTTGGCTCTTCTGAAGTACTAATATAATGGCTGGTTTAGGGTATAAAATTTTGCATTATACATCACAACTGTGGGAAGCTTTATGTTAGTTCTGGTGAATGAATGTCAGACAAATAAAGGCTTATTAAGAACATAAGACATGGGCATGTAAAATGGATATTGCTGTTTAAGTTGATTCTTTACTTTGATGTTGCAGTTTTTAATATAGCAGTTCTTATATTATCATTTTATTGTGTCTCAGTCTCATTATCCACTGTAAAACAGTACTATTTATGATTATAATATCTTGCACAACTAGTATGAACCAACGGTCCATTTCAAAAGGTTACTTACTACACATACAATAGGCTCTTTTTTTTCTTAATAAAAGGTGATGGTTGAAATGAACTTTTGCGTTTCCGCCCTCCCTTTCCACCTGTTCGCATATAACCACTAAATAATTTAATGTGGATAAATAATAAATCAGAATTAAGTACATTGATTTTGACGATTACAGTGATATAAAAATTGCCTGTAGAAAATACACTTTACGTGGTTCATTAGATTACCAACTAAATTATCATTTTCTACTAAAACAGTATTTTCATAAACTAATGCCCCTATTCTTCCACCTTCTTTGCAAAGGAAGTCCAATTTTCTAAAGATAGTGTATAAAGAGTAGCTTGGTGCACAAAGCTTTCTGCATTGAAAATTCGTACAAGTCTTTACATTTTGTACTAATAACAGAAACAAGACATCACTCTTTTGATTCAGTCTAACTTTGAAAGATTGAACACTTAAAAACGATCAATCACCTTGACAATCCAAATGAATCATTTGTACATTCGAAACTCGGGTGTGACAGAGTAGGAATACACCGCACTTGAAAACACGGCAATCACCATATTACCTAATTAGTGAAACACAACATTTCAGCAATTTGCAATAATGTTACAAACCAACCCTAGAAGAACTCTTTGTTCCCCGGAAGTGATTTAGAACAACACAGCCAAAAAGGGGTGGGGTGGAATCCGGAGCAGTGGCAACCAACTCTGTGATAGCACAAGATTCTGATTCTTAAATGCATCTGACAAGGAACTAAAACCCAGCTGATCCAACAAGTGAAGAGTATGCTGCATTTTCATCACCGGTAGGTGCCTGTTCAACAACTCTGCGGGATGTTCCAACATCTACTTTCAAAAATGTTCCACCATCTAGGTTGCACGTGGCACAGAGCTCTAAACGCTTCTCTTTAGCTTCAGCAAGATCACCGTCCCAGCAAGTTTCAGAGATAATCTCAAGTGCTTTCTCTAGCTTGTCTTCTGGCACAAGAACGTCATTTTGTTGGAGCACAAGATAAACTTGTTCAGCAGCGGCCTTCCTAACCTGCACAATAGTCAAAAACAATTGTTGAGAAGGCGTCCAATTCATTGTTTCATGTTACTAATTTATATATTCACTCAGATTAAGTTTCTCTTGTTCAGGTGCTTTCTGGTACCTTTGGAAATCGATGGGTGAGGAAAGTTAGTAAATGAGTGAATGCCTGGATATTGATCTGTTCAGGTACTGATGAAATATATCCAAGTATTGCAATTCCAGCATACAGCTTACTGAAGTCTTTTGATCCTTTCAACTCTATATTAAGAGCTTCTAAAACTCCAACACAAAACACTGCAGTCTGCGCCTGTTAAAAGAAATGAGAAGGGGGAGGGGGCAAAGTCACATCATCAGTACAGCAGTGTTTGTGCAGACTGCAGAATAAGCCAGTACATATAAGAACAAAGGGGAAGATACCACACATGAATGATTGGATACTATAAGAAAGATCTAGATGGAAGTAGACTAACCTCCATATTTAAGAAAATCTTTTTGCTGAATAGGTTCTCAATAGTCTGCAACAAAATAGTAACACATCAGTGTTAGAAAACCTGTACCATATTGGATGTTTAAGGTTTTAATATAAAGATATAGTATCTTAGGTTACTTTTTTTTTTTTGACAACTACGGTGTTGGGTCAACTTGCACACACCTCGACTAATTACACATACCTGCCACCTCCCACTAACTATAGGTATCAGGTAACTCAGTCCACCAAGGCTAAGATAGAAGGGAAGAGATCACCTAGTGTTTTGTCTCTGCTGGGGTTTGAACCTGAGACCTCATAATTCTCAACCCCACTTCACTGACCACTAGGCCACACCCGTGAGTGCGTTTCTTAGGTTACTCCATCCATGGACTTAAGGTTATGCGTTGGACACTGTAATTCTTTCACATGGTACCAACACCAAACACATTCCTAATATCAGTTACCGAATGTTATCGCACACCCCATAGCCAATGCTGAATGTGCAAGGGTGTCAAAATGCCACATTAGTTAAGCATATGAGCCTTTGGTCTTCTTGTATGGTCTCGGTATATCCTCACAATTGCACTAGTTCTTGAGATTGGGTTAGACTTAAGGCCCCTTAACATGATATCAGAGCCAAGCTTTGGTTAGTTTGTTTCCACAACTGTCTTCTCTCGACATATTCTATCACTTGGATCTCTCTCACTTGAGCAAATTGAGCCATTAACTCTCCGCTGTAAGCAAGCCCGTTGGGCTCTCTACTCCAAACTAACTCTTCAGCTTTTTAAGCCACGTCGCTCCTCAACCAAAAAAAAAAAGAAACAAAAAGTTATCTGCCCATGCGCAAACCCTATAGAGCCAGGTTACACATGCAGAAGGGTGTTATAGAACCTCAGGTTACACATGCAGAAGGGTGTTATAGAACCTCTGGGATATTGGCATAGTAAGAGTTTTCAAATGAGTTAATAATTGTCCCTGGTTTCACCACCCATTACTTTACGATTGTAGGTGGGATGCTTAGATTCTTGTATAGTCAGAATAGAGGAATTTGAAGAATAACATAAAGAGTGCTTGAAGTTTTCCGAAAATGAGATGTGCAAATGACAAAACAGAATACTGACTTCTTTTACAAATATCCAAAGAATAAAATGGAACTTTATAGAAGGATTTAGCAGAGGTTCCTGCAACAAGCCTGTCTAAAGATGAAGCATATATTTGAGAAATATCCATAGAGTTGATTTGATCAGAAATGTAGTTACAAGTCAAAGGGGTGGAGAGCGTGAGATACCACTGGCAGGATTCATGACAACCAGACTTCTATTGTGATGGCAGATTTCACTACTTCACATTTTAATTCAACTATAGTGCACGCTCTCTAGCAAAATCATATATTACATATAGCTCTGAGATGTTTCGGCAAATTGTTCAGTTCACCACTAAAGATTCTTGTCATTGGAAATAGTAAAAGTCACTTGGAAGGTGAAGTGCCATTCCACATTTTTCTTCTTTTCAAAGCAGCTACAAATCATAAAATTTTACAAGAAATTGTTTTTTACCAATAAAAAGGAAAATAGATAAAGCTCAGGATACTGTATAGACAGTCAAAAATGTAAATTCACCAGATTGCTGCAGTAAAAAAATATGATTAACAAGCATCTTCATAACTGCAAGAAAAATAACTGTTTCATAAATCATAACGTGGTGATTCTAGAAAGATAAACAGTGATCTACAATTAAGGAATGAGTCGACAATTATCATTAGCAGAAATGGAATTTCCAATCAATTTTACCTTCAAAGTGGGTTCCACAACTCTGTCACACCTTTGGTATTTCTGAAGAACCCAAAGAATGTCATTGGAAAGATTGTACTCTTTAGAATCATTTACATTTTCATCAGTTGACTGAAGAAATTCAAGCAAAGCATTGAGTGATGGCTTTCTCAATGAATCTTGCAAGCCACCAATGGAAATAACCAACCCCGATATCACATATTTGCTATAGCAACTGATACCAAGTAACTGAAGAAACCTAGGATATGAAAAAGTAGGTACCTGCAGGATGGCATAGAAAGGCTTGTTTGTCAAATACCCTAAGATATAGCAACCAACAAGACAAGCAATTTTAACCTACCCCCCATTTCAGATCTGCATCGTCAGGCACTATTTGCTCTAGTCTCTCTCGATGGGGAATAAATGGTACAGAAATTGATTTATTATGCAAAATTCTTTGAAGAACCTTTGCAGCTAACTCTCTTAATTTATCCATCTTCTCCACTGCTTGTTTAACAATATTTCCAACTAAATGGGTTGCCATATTTTCATCAAAAAGAAAATTCATCTGGTTTGTAACATCTGTCTCGTCCAACTGAGGAACAGATCCAAGTTCCATTTGTTCTGACTTGCTTGAGAAGCCCTTGAGTCCTCTTTTGCATAGAATATATGTGCATCTCTCAAGGCCATCTAAGGCAGTCTCACGAACCCAAGAACCAACATCACCTCTGTTATCTTTAGAGTAATCATCCAAAGCTTTAAATAAAGTCTGCATAACCTCATTCTTTATAAGAACATACAGAGATATGCATTCTTCTGCAGATAATAGATGAGAATGATCTTGTGTCTTGGTTAAAATTTCACACACAGATACAAGTCCTTTGACAGCATTTACCCGTGATTCAACATCTCTTTCTTCAGGGTTATCCTGTAGAGCATAAAGTTGTTCCATCAACCAAGATAATGTGCAGCTTACTTTCTCCATCAGCAACAGCTAAAACAGAAGCACTTCCTTACCTCAATTTCACAAGCAGCACAAAGCTTACGAAGTATATCCTTCCATCCTACACATAGAAACTTAAATGGCAAAACACCAAGCGCAAGTGCAGATCCTCGTCTAGCTGCCACATTAGGATCAGTCAATTGCTCAAGGTATCTTAATGTAATAGCATTGAAGCCTTTACTTTCCAAAGGCACAATGTAAGCAGGAATGAAGCTCTTTAAGGCTGCAACAGCAGCACCCTATAAACAAAATAGTAAATCAGTCAATTCACTCAGAGGAAGCTAATAAGCAGGAAATTGATAAAGTCATAAGATAAACCTGTATCTGAGAATTAGGATGTCTCAGATTCTCATGGAGCGTATCAAGCAGACTCCGTTTTATTTTGTCTGTCAATTGGACCCGAGCTGATGAAATACATTCAATGAAACGGGAAACAGCAGAACGCATTATTTCTCCTCCCTTTCCACGATATAGTCGTGCTTTCTCAATTGCAAGAACCACACCAGCAACTTGATTCTGCAGATCTGTAACGGAAAAATAGAGGGATCACAATTCGCTTTGGATAATAAACACAAATAGACCATGTCATAACCCTTAACCAGATGATTTTCTCTTTTTATTAATTTAAACAAGAATTGTGGTAATTAAAACTTTAAATGGCTCACATGGTAATAGCAACATCACAAAAATTGGGTCTCCAGTTGTACGTGATGGAAAGACAATTAAATGCATGGTATAAAAACAATGAAAAATGAGTACTATATGTCTTAGAATGTAATCCTCTTTCCCAAATTCAATGTCCATTACATCTCGACTTTCCTGCTAATCCAAACTTCTGGAACTGAAAGAACACTTCCATTGTTCTTCTTATAATCACTTCTGGGAATTACATACTCCAATCAGTAGCTCACTTCTATTCAAACTGTATAGCAGGTTAGCAGCTATCACTCCCATAATATTCTTGTACTCTTTCCCTCAAGATGATTAATTAGGATTGAGGGACTTTTTAGCTATGCAGAGAAGAAGAAAAGGGCAGCCCGGTGCATGAAGTATTCCATGTTCACACAGGGTTCGGCAAAGGCAGCCTACCTGGCGCAAAGTACAATGTTGATTCCAAGGCTCGGACCTGTGACCTATAGGTCACACGGTTAGAACTTAAATGTTTCTCCAAGGCTTCCTTATTTGATTATGCGAAGAAATCACTACAACAATAAGCACTGATAGGGAAGAAACATCTATGACAGAAGTTAGACACAAATAATTTCACTTGGCATTCATGATTTGATTTCACAATGAATAAGAAAAAAAAATCATGTTTCATACATGTATAAATATATAAAATAAGTAAATAACAATATGTAGAATTTACTTGCACGGATTGAGTACAAGCCATCATTACAATCTCATATATTTTAACAATTAAGTTGTTTTTTAATATAGAATAGTTATAGATTTCCAATTTCCGAGCAAATTTTATTTTCCAGTATACTGAATAACTATTTAACTCAAGTGAGGCCTAGAAAAACTTAAACTTATAAACAAAGAGGTAAAACACTCAAATGCATTAGATCTTTAAACTATAAACCAGTGCCAACCAGCTTGAACTTTGATTTCATCACACACAATTAACTAAAAGCTTGAAGCTAAAATGGAGACACCAACCTGGGAGAAGAACATATTCACGTTCATGTAGAGCCAATATAACCTCCCCAATAGCTAAAGTTGCACCATGACGCATGCACAAATCAGAAGACAATGTGCAAGGCAATAATTTTCCCACAACGGTACTAGAAAAATGTCCAAGATCATACTTAGCAAGAGAAGAAAGGGCATTTGCAGCAAGCTCTCTCAAACTCTTATCCTATATTAGGACAGTAAGGTAACCAATCAAAAAGACTCATCAATGATAGAACTAGCAAGTGACAGCACATGCCAAATTAGTTCACAAATAAATAAGTACATTGGCCAGCTGGTATGATATTAGCAGGGTCTTAATTCTCAGATTTAGACTGTTATGCATGCATGTCTTAAGCTCAATATGAAAAGGAACCCAGAAAAATTATAAGAAGAAGGTGAAACATCACTAAATGACCCTATAGTTTGCCATAATTAGGGCTACACCTGTAGTTTCCCAACTGAAAGATCCTTAGCGGGATCAGCATAACCTCCTCTGCTACTATCTTTTCTGAACAGACATGTCGTCAAATTTGTATATTTGTAAACAATATCATTGGAGGGGGGTGATTAGATAGGCATGGCGCAGTTTTAGCTTATGGAGGACACAACCTTAGATAGGAGGGTGTGGAAGAGATGGATTAGGCTAGAAGGTTAGTAGGTAGCAGTGCGATTTCTGTAGTTGTCTTGCTGTCCATTCATATTAGTAGTTTCTTGTCCTTCGATTTCTGTTACCATCTATTGTTTCTTGTACCTTGATTATTGTATTATTTTGTTGTAGTTTCTGTTCTATTACTATCTGCTATTTTTTTTGTTTGTTATTTCATGTACTTCTGTTACTTCTCTTTGGGGACTGCTTTGGACTGTTTTTATTGAGCCGAGGGTGTATCGGAAACAACTTCTCTACCTTTGAAGTAGAGGTGAAGTCTCTGCGTACATTTTACCCTCCCCAGACCCCAATTTGTGGGACTACACTGGGTATGTTGTTGATATTTGTAAACAAATTCCTATCACATTTCTAATTCAATTCCTACTATCTTTTTTCAGTTCCATGATATGACAAAAGTTGTCAGTTGTCACAGTAGTGCTTTTGCCAAGACCTCAAAACTTCGGTGAGGAATCAGCTATATACATCTTATCTTTGATAACAAACTTATATAATGCACCTCAGTGAACCACAAATAAAAGGCACACTCAAGCAGACCATAAACATTTTATAAAAGAAGTGTTTTGTCTGAGTAAAAGCTAGCAATCAAGCAACTAGCAAGTATAAACATACCCAGTGACAGATTTTGTTGTTCAGAAGCTCATCAACAAAAGTATAAAGATAGCCATCATATTGAGCAATGCAGACAGCAACGTGAAGATAGGAGTTTGTACGTGAAGAAAGTGCAAAGTAATCAGCTGTATTCACTATATCGATACCGTGAGGATAATTTCCTTGTCGTCCAACATTCTCTTGAAAAGCAGCAGCAGCTGCTCTTCTACAATTTACCTGGAAAGTAATAACAATGTTGCATCATTTTAATTGGAGGAAGAAGCACCTTGACAGGGTAAGGAATGATCCCTGTGTTTTTGGTACCTCACGGTCATAGCAGGCCACAGTGAGAAGGTGTGGAGCAAGCTGTTGGAGTATGCTTTTCATATCTGCATGGCAATATGCACGGCCAAATGCCCAACAAACATAAGCAGCAGCATCACGTACATGGGATCCAATGCTATGTGGACCTCTTCGAATGTCATAATGTAATGCCTGCCACACCAAACTTTCCCTCATTATTAGGCGACAAATCCAGCTTCAACGAGGGAAGAATTGCATGAGTGGATAATGCAAGTCTAATGTTATCTCGAAGTGGTAGTCTACATTGAATATGTTTCAGTAACTCATCCCCAAAAAAAAGGTCCACCCATATATCCATCTGTCATGCATACCCATTAGTAAACATCAAAAGAGGATGATATGTGTTCCAGATGCTAAGATTTTTTTTTTTTAAAATTAATTTCGGATGCTAAGAATTGAATGGTAATAAGGACTGGTATTTCAAAGGCGAAGATTATATGCTCATAAGTACAATAGAAACACCGTACATGACACAAATACTCAATAATGTGATTTGGACCCATAAGCACACAGCAGTCAGTAAATAGGAGTCCTATGGGCATCTGTGCTTCTGATTGCCTAACCAGAATGCTCATCATGGGTAAACAGGGATCCTTTCTACTTTCCTCTCCCTCTTTCTCCGCTTCTCATCTGTAAGTAGGCAGCAGGTCTTATCTATCCTATTTCTGCAGTAAGAAAGAATGTTTTCTGCGACAGAACTAAGAGCGACAAATTTTCTGAAAGAGAGATCTCTGTTAAGATGTTTCACTTGAATACCAAAGTGTATTACGTACAGAATTCCAATTAACCTATTAGAATTTGTAACGATCGCTTGAAGCTAGAGGAACAACCGAGCAACATGGAATAGAGCATAGTCAACTAAGGTTGCCTGCTTATCTTAGCCTATACAGTTCCTGGAAGGTAAGATATAAGGAGAAAGATGAACACTGATCAAGCAAGTTGTGTATCATTAGCAAGTTTATACTCTTTAGAGATAATTAATTGCTCAATCGCAAGGTCCAACATATTGAGTTAAAGAGAGATCAAAAGTACAGAATAAATTAGGGAACTTCAGTAAGGACAACCTTTATAACGACAGGAATAACTTTGTGAAAACTAATAGGTAACAGCAATCCTCTACGTGCCAATTCAGCCAGCGCCAAACAGCCACCATGCCATGAACCATCGCCCTGTAACACTAGAATACATAAGCATAACCTAAACAAAAGAAGAATCAAGACAGATGAAGTGCAAGAGAAACTATTAGCTTTACAAAATCTGGGTCTTGTTAATTAATATTCTATATTCAGACATAGTGGCTATCTCATAAGATAACAGAAAAAACAATTGGTAAAAAACAACTGAAATAACACACCTCGCTAGGTGAAAAGAGCTCCAGGACAGATGAAAGGATTTCATCGGAAAGCAAGTAAGTTAACCGTGAAGTAACACGACCAATACCTTTTGCAGCAGACCAACGCACAACAGTATCCTGTAGTGCCATGATAAAATCTCTAAGATGCGAAAGTTGAAATTAAAAAAAATAGCGGAAATGTGAAAAAATAAAAGGAAGCTGTTGTAGCAGTAATATACTGAAATGGAACCAAATGATGCTAATGCATGAGAAGACATAAATCTGTTTCAAAATAGCAACTGCAGATGAACGAAAAAAAGAGATCAGTTAGCCTGAACAGAAGTAAATAAATGTTTGTTTCTGTTCCATAATGTGAGTTTCACCAAGAATCTCCGAAAACAGTAAGGCAATGACACTTTATGACTGTTCAGCTTGATGAAGTGTCATTTATTAACTGCTTTAGAAGATTCTTAGTGTCAGTCACATTGTGGAACAGAGAGACAATTATTTACTTCCGTTCAAGCTAACTGATCTCTTTTGGCACATGTGCGCATACACGGAAAGAGAGATACACAACCTTGCATCAAGATATCAAGTTCTTTAAATGCACTAACTCAAGAAAGAGAAATATATGTGGATAGTCAACTTAAATTTTATCATGATTCTTCCATGGCACATGAGGAGGAGGTGAAGGAGCTTTACCAAATAAACATATAAATAAAATAAACCATCCAAGGAAAACAGATACCAACTTGAATTTGTCTACAGGTCTCGCGCTAAATACTTAAGATTAACGAGGACAATCAGATAAGTAGAAGATGGAAGCTCACCCTTTAGACATACCGTATCACGCAGCCCTGACAGCAGTAATTCAATTATCTCTTCTACTATATCAGGGACATCCATGTCTTCTTCATCATGACAGTCCGGCTCTTGGTAGAAATTCGATAGATCATTGTTTCTATAGTTATTGTATCGGTTCGTTTCAATTCTATCAGCAGTAATATTCCCTCCAAGCGTGCTGGTTCTACCCTACATGGCAAAACAAGCATTGCTACTAACTAATTTCCCACACTCTATGGTGAGTTGATCAGCACAAAGTATTTCAGGGGAATACTGTAAAACGCAGGAATGAAAAAAGACAAGTAACCAGTACCAGTAAATGAACAAATAATGAAGGAGCTGATAAACATGTTGCTCTTTGATAAACAACACAGTACTGTAATTTTTTAAATAAGAGATAAATATTGACAAGGATCGAGAAGAGCAAGAAAGGATGACAATGTTTAAAAATCATATTAAGATCAGTGAGGCAACATAAAGAAAAAGGATGCTACCAGACAAAAAATTACATAGACGCTCATCTCCCTATTCCCCGCAAATCATCATAACTTTTTCTTTTAGAAAGATGGTAGGACAACTGGCTCCTAGTAAATGATACTAAACCTAGTTAACTACATGAGTTTTGAAGCAGAGCAACCATCACTCTGTAACTAGTAAGAAACATTTAAGCCCCTTCTTTTGCATAATTAGCAGTCTTACCACATATCGCCATGACTGATGACGTGGAGGGAGACATATCATCCCAATCCTTTGCGTTAGCTTCACAAGATACTTGCGAAGTAAAGGACTACGCGCTGCAGTGTTGGACTTCATCAGAGCTGATGTGTCATTCCAAACACCAGGAATCACACTAACCAACACTTTCGGGCTTCCATTCTGTATTAAGAGGAAAACAATAGTATTCTAAGAAGTACACATACTAAAGCAAGACTGCAAGATCACCAAATAATGAAGGGGTTAATAACATCTTGCACAACTGTGCCACTCCATAGTGAGTACAGCGAAAAAGATTCTATGTTATTAAGATATTAGACTTTGTAACATGATCAATGTGTATCTTTCAATCAGCACCTGATCTCTGATATAATGACATCAGGAGATGCTTTCAAAGATAACTGAAACTTAAACTTGGCAGTTGGCACTTACGTGATAAATCCAAATTGATTTTCCAACCCCATCCATTTCTTTTAAACTTGATTTTTACCACACTCACAGATAATTACCAAAAGAAATGAAGAGCAGCTACAAATACATCGACGAAGGATAAAAGATGAATTCATTTCATTCAAATTTGAATTTGAGGGGAACGTCTAAGTTCTAAAGTAGAATCACAGATTCCACGGATAACGATTGTGAATAAAGAAAGTTAGGAAATAACCAAAGTAGGGCACAAAGAAAAAGAGTGAACCTTGAACATAGCACCTAGTGCTTCAACTGCACCCAATAGCTGGAAGTGATTGACTACATCATTTGACATACATGACATAACTTCATGCGTCCAGTCCACAAAGCTGAAAAACAAAGTTATGGGGGATGCAAATATGTAACTCAAACATATCGTGTAAAAGAATTTGCAAGTGTTAAATAATTCCCAAAGGAGGCATAAAATAGTTACATCGTACTTGCTCAGCATATTTCAATGTAGAAGATTTTCTTCTTTTTTACTGCCCATACAAATAATATTTAACATAGAGAAAAATGAAACAGAATGTCTCAGCAGGCATTATGACAATTTGTAAGAAAGGCGAGGATTTTGTCTGCTGATATCGCATACAAGTGAATTGCATGTGTCACATAACAAGCAAAGAGAAAATGCAGTAAATTATACTCCAGCGAGTATCATGTCATTTGCATTCACAAACATAATGTGCATGCATGAAAATGACCAGACAATTTCATCTACTTTTACGTGTTGTTTCCTTTCTTTTTTTTTCTTTTTTTTTGTTGATAATTTCATCTGCTTGATTGCAAGATTTTAAATCATGAACTGTTAGAAATGGAAAGGGTTTTGGCAGTTGGACCTGGTAAAAGCCTTTGTCATATCTGGGCGTGTAAGAAGCCTTGAGAGCAGCAAACCGGATATGGTTCGCATAGGACCCGCATTTGAAAGGTAGTCTTTAGAGATTTCCAGAATTTTTAGAACAAGTGGAGGTGGCTCATCACCTCCAGCATAGTTATTATTCCCAGCACTAGTATCCATAGAAGCTATATCAAAAGGGATCAATACAAGAATGTAGAGCCACAATAGTATCACACACTTTGCCTCCATCTCTCCAGTACTTTCTTGTCGTAATGATGTTCCAGCTTGTGTATTATGGCATTTCTCCAGGAGAGATACTGCAAGTTCCAGGTCAGAAACCTGATGAGGGAAGAACTTGACAACAGCCTTGTAGCCACAGACTGTCACCAGAGAATATATTATGATACACACAGGCTTAATTACTTCAAGAATCTCTTCCGAGGCAGCAGCTCGTTCGACAGCTTTTGAACGGACAATGGACATTAGGGGTGAAACCATACTCTCGAGGTAAGGCTCCAGTAATTGACCTTGCTCCTGATATTTGTCCATCTGCAAATCATATTTTAAACAAATAATTAATGTACTACCAAAGAAAAAATATTTTTATAAAATTTGCATTAGCTCTAAGCAACTGGTGTTTTAGTAATTCTGAAAGCAAAGTACTCAATCATTAAGTACTTTTAAGGGTTTGGACTTGGCATCATCAAGAGTGTAGTGTCCTACATCAACATGAGTAAAAGATGAGCAGAAATTTGAAACAATACATTCTTCAAATTTCTTCTCAACAAATACATCTCTTCACAGTCCCCTCTCAAAAAACTAAATCTCTCCACAGTTCCTCTACAAGCTCACTTTTAGACTTAGACATCAAGACCAGCAAAATTCAGATCTTTTCTCGCCGATGAATCATCATATTAGTTAATCATACAAACAGCTTAGAAGTCCCACATCGGTAGAGGGATGGGAATTTGGTCTCGTTATATGGACTTGGACAAACCTCCCCTCTTGAGCTAGCTTTTGAGGTTGAGTTAAGCCCAGGTGTCATATCTTTACATGGTATCAGAGTCAAGCCCATCCCAATTTGTTGTTCACCGATGTTGGGCCCCCATTTAGAAATGTTCACGCTCCAGTTGAGGTCTGGCCGTGCGGGGGAGTGTTAAGAAGTCCCACATTGGTAGAGGGATGGGAATTTGGTCTCCGTATATGAACTTGGACAAACCTCCCCTCTTAAGCTTGCTTTTGAGATTTAGTTAGGCCCAGGCTATGTTGCTCAGACTCTTCAAAAATGCCAACGGGTGCGTGTCGGATTCGCCAAAAGTAGTGTATTTTTGGAGAATCCGAGACGGATGCGGCATCAAAAGTGGAGAGTCCGCGCAACTAAGGGCCCAGGTGTCATATTTTTACACAAACAAATTGTCCTTAACACACAAAATAAAAAATGCTTCCTGCAATTCAATATAGAAGGTGGTGTTCGACTGAACTTGGAATTTAAGAAATAGAGTAAGACTTTTCACTCATAAGCAAAATATATAGTCCTACAAAAAGTATCCTCGGAACTAGTGGTCTTCAACATGCCATATTAATTTGCATAAGAGCATGTCATTAAGGGCAAAGTAGAAATGCTAATACAACAAACTTCCAAATATAGATAGGAGTCGATCTTTTAAGAGAGATCAAGGATGTATGACTGTCATAAAAAATAGAAAAGAGAGCATAATTATCAAGCTTGAAGTCCAATAACATTCTTCAGTCACAAATGTAGTTTTACAGTTCCTTTAGAACCTTAGTTTCTAATCAAATCACACAAAGTTTAAATCTTTGGTCTAAATATATTGCCCAACACCCTTTGGGGTGGCCCAGTGGTTTGAGCTTGGGACTTCCATGTTGGAGGTCTCAAGTTCGAAACCCCTTACCAGCGAAAACAAGGGGTTTGCCTTCTGGGTCGAGCTCGTCGCACCTGGCTTGCCTAGTGCGGGTTAACCTCTCCTGTGTGGTTTGCGAGCTATTGCATAGGAGCAGAGGTTTTACCCTGTGCACACCCAAAGGGTAGCGGCTGCGGGTTTCCCTTGTCAATAAAAAAAATAATATTTCCCAACAATAACAACATCCAGAATTATGCCCCAATCTCAAACTAGTTGCAGTTGGCAATATAAGTCCTCTATATCTAATATGCTCCATCTATGTTTCTTTCATTCAACTATTCAATTGTTTGTCGTATAGGACAAATCAGGAATTAATTAAGACGAAAAGTATTTTTTAAAATCTGACACCTTTTCTTAGACTGTAATACAGTCTTTAACCAAACTTAAAAGACTCCATCAAGCACCAAACCAATGTAAATGTGCTAATAACAAAATATCCCAATCCCAACTAGTCGGGATTGCCTATCCATACATTCTTCCTGCATCATATCTTACCCTTTACTAAGTACGCAAAGATCCCAAGAAATTGAGGTACTTTAAGACAACTTACTTCCATCATGTGATCTGTCATGTACACGTGTTCCCTTTTAACACCTTTAATCATCACGGTGTCACACCAATGGGTCAATGTCCTTGGAAGTCTACGTAAGACACAATCAAAGCATCTCACATAACCTCTCACTTTTTGCTCTATATGTGCTATTGTACATCATGTTAAACTTTTCTAATCTTGTGCAATCACACGTCATCCTAACATTCACAATTTTGCATTACTCGTCTTGGATACATTAGGCACTTAGGCCTTACAGGCCAAATCTCACTTCACATAGTATCATTAGGCTCCCAACCATTCTATATAACTAGTATTTCCTTTAGATATGTATCCTCTTATCACATAAATCCATCCTACTCTAGCTCTATGTGTTTTTTCATCTTTTACAGGTATTTCAAGTACAAGCATAGCATTGAACTAATAATTATGCAGTTCAAACAGACAAAATAGATAGAGAGAGATTACGATAGATCGGATCTTATGCACAGAGGAGATATCAGAGACACGGCCATTGGAAATGATATCGTCGAGGAGTGACTTAACAAGCTTCCATTCCTGTAGAAAATATCTCTGCAGAACACTCTCTTTAGAATCGTGTTCATCGTCTTCTTCAACTTCGGTAACTCCCATTTTCAATTGTTCCTCCATCTTCAAGCTTTCTTCTACTCCGTCAGCCGTTAACAGAGACACCGAGAAGATACACTGTGACGATTTGCCTCAAAAAAATTTACTAGTATTTGATTTGATTTGATTTTGCCGCTGCTATTGCCGGACTGAGATTCATCTGCTTAAAGCAATTATTAACGTGGGGGTTAACTGATAATCGCTGTCCAGCCCACAATTGATTTTGCTATGTCCAATTTCGTTTAGTTTATGGGCTCATGAATGATTGAAGCGGATTAGAATTTTGTTGGGCTCTGTTGGTAAAATGGAAAGAGCTAGCCCACGTATGGGGTCATATTTAGAGAAAAAGCACTACATTTTAGCGCCCAATTATCATACATAACTATCGTTTCTTTCAAAATTAGCAAATTTATTTTAGAGCCCAAATACCACTTAATTACTCATCATAGCTATAGTTTGCTATAATTACCACTCGTGACTAATATTATACATTAACTACGTGGGCTAACTTCAAGTTTGTATAATTAATCACGTTTGTATATGTATAATTCGCCAGAATATACAAATACTATGTATAATATACAATTATCTAACCGATATACATATACAATTCACCTCTCTCCCACTCTCTGCCCTCTCTCACTCGCCTCTCTCCTCCTTCTCCCAATTTCGCTCGCCTCTCTCCTCCCTCTCCCAATCTCGCTTGCCATATATACAAATGCATATGTATAATATACAATTATCTAACCAATATACATATACAATTCATTCACCTCTCTCCCACTCTCTGCCCTCTCTCCTCCCTCTCCCAATCTCACTCGCCTCTTTCCTCCCTCTCCCAATCTCGCTCGCCTCTCTCCTCCCTCTCTCAATCTCGCTTGCCATATATTCAAATACATATGTATTATATACAATTATCTAACCGATATACATATACAATTCACCTCTCTCCCACTCTTTTCCCTCTATCCCAATCTCGCTCGCCTCTCTCCTCCTATAACATTAAGCTACAAATTGTAATTATCAAACTATAGCTATGGAGAGTAATTAGACTATTTTTGAGTGGCTATATGTGGAAGTTCCTCATAATAGTTTCTTTTCAAAATGTATCATTCGTAGCAAATCTTTTATTACCAATTTATAATACATTTATATGTGCGACGATTAAAATCTTTGTTAATTGTATTTGTTCACATGGCAAATCAATCTAAGTTAATTGTTCAACCAAGACAATCAAGGCAAAATACATAAAAATGCATTGAATATACAAGATACAAACAATAAAAATACAGGATTATAAACTATATAACCACAAAAATACAATAAGATACATCCGTAAAATACAGTCAAACAAGAACACGAACAACAAAAATTATGTCCCGTATCTGAAAAGTTAGATATCTGGTGCAAAATATATATATGTGAAGTTTACAGAGGATATACAATAATACAAATAACAAAAGGTGGATGGTACAATCAAGGCAAAATATCAAAATTAGTGATTTGCCGGGAAAATTTTCGTTCAAAATACAGAAAAACAATCCAGAACAAAAAAAAGTTTTCGATGCCATAAACTTTGTCCTTCCTCAAAATATAGTGATTTGGTTAAGGTTGTGTGTATATCGATCAGTTTCTCCATATTTACTTGTGAAATTATATCAGGTATATTATTGTTGATTAAGTTAAACTCTTTAAAATGGTGTTACATAATCCTTCGACTTGAGTAATCTTTTGAGTAAAATAACAAAAGATAAAGTGATTTTTCTAATACAAAAAAATAATTATCTTTTCAATAAAATAACAAAAGATAATTGATTTTTCTCATTAAAAAGGGTGACTTTATTCACTTATTTTGAGTATATAGTTCACATCATTTAATTAAGCAATATGAACTCTTAGAAAAATATATCGCAACCCTAACGAAACAAAAATACTTTCCTTTCTTTTACAAGATATGCAAAATATCATATTCACACATTGATTCATGATATTATTCAAGTTTACAAACATATAGTATATGCTATATATGTATACACCACCAAGACTCAAAAGTAATTCCCATCACAACTAGCTAGCTAACTAAAACACTCATAAATATTTGGTTTTTTTTTATATATATGCAACCTTGCTTCTTGCTTTAAGGTTTATTTTTAAAGCCACCATTAGAATTAGCTCTATGCCAAGCTGCAAATCCATTAAACAAAACCAACGTATTGCTAGTAACTTGTGCAACATTAAGTACCCTAGCTTTAATCATAGCCATCCTTTTACCACCCATTGGGTACCCATAAAATCCATCCATACAAATATATGTATCAGTCAATACAGTACTTAGCCAAGTTTGCACATTGCTTTGACACCAAGCAAAATCCCCTTCACTATATTCTGCACTCTTCATGTGTTCAAACTCTTTGAATGAATTTGTAAGCTCAGAAACACTATCTGACATTTGATCTAAACAATCTTTAACCGCTTGATATTCCTTAGCCTTTTTTTGTTTCAGTTCTTTCGATACTATTTGCAAGTAGTTTTTTGTGTATACTGCCTTAACTATACTCACTTTTAAAGCAGCTTGAGCTATTTCTTGAGGATCTTGTGACGTTGGATTTAAATGTGTTGCTAACGAACTCACACATAGACCTGGATAACGAGTGTGCTTGCATTGTGACTCTACGAATTTAGGCACGATTGCACCCGATTCAACAATAAAGATAGAGAAAATGACAAGTAAAATTAGGGGAAGGACAAGTTTTTCCATAATTTTTTTTGGAGAAGTATAACAAGGAAAGATTAAGCGAAGAGTATAGAATTATATGAAGAGAGAATGAATTTTGTTGTGTTTGTTTGATGGGAAAATTGTAAAGGAGGTGCTAAGGTTTATATAGAAGCTAAGGGCTATGACATGAATATAAATGATCATGAGAAGTTTAATTATATTAGTGCACACTCATTCTTGCTTAATATTCGGCATTGACCTTATACATCATTTAAGAAAATTTTAATTTATTAAACTAATCTTACTAATGATATTTTGAAATTTTAAATTTGATTGCTATTATTTAATTAATACTAAGAGTAGTATAGAAAAAAAAAACTCTCTTAATTTGTTAAAATATATCGATAAAATTGAAATATTTATTTTTAATATAAGGATCAAGTAAAATAAAACGGAGGGAGTAATGCATAATGCATAATGCATAATTATTTTATGTGAGTCAATTTTTTGGGGAAGGTGTTGATGTTGGGGTTCTAGTAAACACAAACCTTAATTCTTGTCGGAGCAATGTCCTATTTACGTAACTTATGAGTATTGAGTTATTGCTTTGACACCCAAAAAGTAGGAAAATATTACGGGGTAATGCTAAATGGCCAGAAAATTTGGCCAGAGTTTGGCCAAAATTTTTAAAAAATTATAATATTTTTTTAATTTTAAAATAAACTGATTTTTTCCATTTTTTAATTAAAATGTATTAAAGTTAAAAGGGTAAAAATGTTCAAAAAGATAGAAATAACATAGATAAAATACCATTCTGACCAAAAAGATTTTTCTTATATCTTAAATCAACTATGTTAATGTGCGTATTTAACAACAATAAATATGTACATTAACAAAGAATGTTAATATTTTTTTACTGATATTAATTAATTGTCATTAGATTTAGTGTTACTATAAACTTAAGTGACATTTACAAAAAATATCAAAATATAATTGTCACTAGTAATTATCTTATAAGAAAATATTTAACGATAGTTAAGTTATTGCCATTAGTTTATTACTGCTAAAAATCATTTTTAGTATAGTTACATTTCATAATTTTTTATATACGTAATGCAATTTTTTTTGAAAGGTACTCACCTGAACAGAACCCAAAAACATTCCATTCTTTTTTATTTGTAAAAAAATGTATGTACTAAACTAGAAATTGATCCCTACCCAAGACCGGTTCAATGCTTACAAAACTAAGATATATGTTCCACTATAAAATTTAAAATGTTCTTTATTTTTTAAAATTTTATGTTAAGTTGACAAATAAATTAAAAGAGAAGAGAATAGCAAATTGCATTTTATGTTTCTTTAGGTGATTTTCAAGCAACTTCAAATTACTTATCGAATCTTCTTGCTATTATTTCGATTGAGAAAACACACTACTAGGGTTGACCCCTACGCTACCAATTATTACTCTTTTGATTCTTTTTCAATCAGTCTCCTGAAAAATGTAAAGCGAAAAGTAAAATATATGATGATTAGCTTGAATTTAAAAAAAATCCCTTATATTGAACTATGAAAAAAGTATCAGAAATTTACTAAATATAAACTAGAGAGAGTAACAAATAAGAATTACTAAATTATTGGGATTGAAAACATATGGTCAAGGATTTTTTTTTTTTTCAAGAGAAGTAGAAAAAAGAAATTGATAATGCAAGATGAAGCCAAAATGGCAAAATAGAGCAAATGATATATAAACCAATTTACACCGAGACAAAGAAAATAATATTACATGCGATATTTTTTATATAATAAGTATAACTTAGGACCTTAAGTTATGTCCACATGAATGAGAATTTGACTTTGATTTCTGTAACGTTGTGCCACATGCACACAGATCCAGAAGACCATAGTATTTACAATTGTAATTTAATTAGTCCTTCACGTGCAATTAAGTATTATTCCCTTCGTCCATCTTTATTTCTTCCGTCCTAATTAGATATGATAATTTTAATAGATCACTTTATAAACATATATAATAAATTTAATATTTTAAAAATATATAAGAGTAAATTATGATAGTGAAAAACATTATCTTTTACTTTTTTCAATTGATAATAAAAATAAATATTTATTTTTAATATAGTAGACGATGAAAATAACTTCGAGATAAGGTTGGTTGTAGTAGACACAAACCTTAATTCGTGTTAGAGTCGGTCGTAAACTTAGGTGAACAGAATTATTATTCAACGTTTTACTAGCTTGTGCTGAGCAGGCTTACTTATCCGTGCATACCGCAACTTGTCTTACACAAAAAAACAAATAAATAAAACATGGATTAAATATTTGACCAAATTATGCTACTACATCAAGCTACATTATTATTTATTTCATAATACATCTACAATTATTAAAATAAAACTACATCTAAATGGGTGACATATCATTTTACCTTTTTTATTTCTTCAATTACGTTTGTAACAGAAAATATATCTTATTTTTAGAGATTCGACTTTTTTTTAGACCAAACATATGGTAAAATCTGTCTATTTTAATATCATGTTAATTAATATGCGTGATCATCAAAATTAAAAGCTTAAATTGTTTTCTATTCTATGTTTTCAAACACTCCAATTATATAAGAATGAACTTACCTGTTTTTAATGTTTTTAACAACATTATGTCTAGCTAATATCTTTATAAAAACAATTAATAGAAATAACACAAGATCTTTATAAATCGTTTTGGAGATCCTAATATAACAGATATACATGGACCACAGGACCAAATATATCATCTTAACACTTCTAAATTACATATGGACTAACAAATATTTATCTTCATTTTTTTTTTCTTTCCTTTTTAATTTTCATTTGTCTTTTACGTGTATTAACTATAGAGAAAGTCAAAATAGCTCAACTAGCGAATATAATATAAGTTGGTACAGAATAAACGTTTGGTATAAAGTAGTGAAGATGTATTAGTCGGTAAAGTTATTATTATGTGATCAGAATATCATGAATTCGAGCGGTAGAAATATTCTCTTTCAGAAATACAGAATAAGACTGCATACAATAGATTCTTATGATCTGATCTTTCACCAGTTTCACACATAACGAAAGCTTAGTGCATCAGACTGTCCCTAATTTTACCAGGTTGTTTAATTTGGTGAGTGGTGCTAACGGTATGATTAGCTTGTGCTTGTAAGAAGGAAGCTTTCTCACCAATTCATGTGCCCACTTGTATAGACAATATTAAACAGACAAAATCATGCTGGAGATTGTTTGACCAACGTTGTGCTAAGATGATGGTAAATTTAATTCTACAACCTTATAATTATATTGTATCAGCGTACCAGGATATCTCATAATTTAGATTCTACACTACATTGAAGTGTAAAGTAGGTCATTATTTGGGCACAAAATAAGTCGAATTGCAAGTTGAGTGAATTTCTAGAAAATTCTCGACTCCACCACGTGTCCATTCGACTGAATATGTGACATAAAATAACACAGTTCTCTTTTTTAATATTTGATTTAACCTACTTTACATTTTTATTAAAAAATTACTATATAACTAAATAGCCAACAAATTAAACTTTCTTCACCAGTACTATCGCCAACCACAAACAACCTGAATTGGGATAATCGACTCCAACCAAAATGTTAATTAGGAATGTCCAAATGAATAAACTGGATTAAATTTGAACGGATCAAAATGAACTGAGTAAATAATGAGTTGTATTATTTATTCCATAATATAGTATATTATTAGTATATAAAGTATAAAACAAGGTCGTCTTACATCTTACTACAAATTGTCGTTTTTATTTTGCCAACGAAATATATTCGTTAGTTGGTGCTTACTATTAGAGACACTTTCCAGCCAATTTTCGGTTTGAAAACTATATTAACAAACTACAACGCTTAAAGTTAATAAAATTACATTCAAAAGTAAAAGGACGAACGTAAAATCAGATTCACATGTAAGTTTGATTTTTCTTCATAGGTCAAAAATATGTAAGTGAAACTTGAACATACGTAGAATCGTTACCTACTCTAATATCATGTGAAATTGTTACTATTTGTTATCATATATTTAAAAATTAAACTGTTAAAAATGACACTTTATTTATTTAATTTATTTTCAACACCCCTATCATAATATTTGTATAGGAGATCTCATAATTTAGATTCTACACTACGTTGAAGTGTATAGTTGGTCACATAATAATTGGGGCTCAAAATAAGGCGATTTGCAAGTTGAACGACTTTCCAACAAATTCTAGAACGAGCTCCATAATGGCATCTGACAGGGGTGGATTTAGCAATAGCTATAGAGTATCAAGATCTTTTTCTTTCCGTCCCAAATAGAACAATTGAATAGGAACTTAGATGGGACCAAGGTGCTTGCAAGCTTAGGGTTAGCAGGTTGTTGGCTGGGAGAGCTGGTAAAAGAATGAAACCTTCAAGAGATCATGGTTAACAAGCTATCTGAGGAAGAACAATCTCCCCCAGCAATATCAATCCTCCCTAGTTCATTCAGAATTCGTAAATTTTTACTAAATATGTACATACATTGAAAAATGAAAAATAGATACAAAGGATATATAATGTAAATGTGACAGTCCTTCAACCAAAGTTATGCATAGTTAAGTTGATTTGAGACTGAAATTTTGTAGTTCAGGTCTTCAGGATACACTTTTAATTAGTCTCAATTTGATAATTTTATTACGTTTTTTCCCCATTTACCTTGTTTACATTTTTTCTTCTTCTTCTTCCATTTACCTTCTTTCTCACCAATCATTTTTGGTGCTTTGTGAAAAAAATATACGGTATTACTTGGAATAATTAAAAAAAAAAAACTCATAAAAAAAAAAGTACTATTTTTTTGAAAGATATAGTACTATACACAAATTATGTTTTATTTATATTTTTTTCTTTTTTTAGTATGGTGCTACATTGTTTATTTATTTTTTCATTTTGAAAGGTGATTGCTTACAAAAATTTATGCGTACACCCACTGACCTCTGAATATATGGCACAATAATT